CCGGCCCGGCTCGCTGGGAGCTCCAGGGCATCCCTCAGTGCCGGGGCGCAGCTTGGCGACAACAAAACCCAACCCATCCAACCCAAACAAATCCAAACATCAGCAAAAACCACCTGTGAGGAGCGGCTGAGGGCTCTGGGTTTGTCTGGCTTGGAGAAAAGGAGCTGGGGGGAGACCTCATTGCTCCCTACAGCTGCCTGAGGAGGGGGAGCGGAGAGGGCGGTGCTGGCCTCTTCTCCCTGGTATCCAGTGACAGGGTGACTGGGCATGGCTCAAAGCTGCGCCAGGGAAGGTTTAGACTGGGCGTTAGGAAGCATTTCTTTACCGAGAGGGCGGTCACACACTGGAACAGGCTCCCTAGAGAGGGGGTCAATGCCCCAAACCTGTCAGTGTTTAAGAGGCATTTGGACGATGCCCTTAACAACATGCATTAACTTTTAGTCAGCCCTGAAGTGGTCCGGCAGCTGGACTCGGTGATCGATGTAGGTCATAGAATCGTTAAGGTTCGAAAAGACCCTTAAGATCATCGAGTCCAACAGTCCCTTCCAACTGAAATACTCTACTATGTTCTATCCTATTCTAAACCCAAACAAAACCAAGATAAGTCAATTGGGAGTGAATGGAGGGTGCTTCCTCCATCGGGGCGGGGTGGGGGATGCGGAGGCCTGCAGGTACACCTCAGGGCTCAGCTGTATTCGAGGATTTGCAGACAGCTGGCGTATTAGAAATGGCAAAGATCCATTCTCGCTGGGCTCTAGAAAGGGATTGAGCCGTCTGCCAGGCCACTCTCTGAGTCAGCTTCCTTAGCGGGCTCAAAGCTAGTAAAACTGCAGCCTCTAGTAGCCCGTTTGGGCTAAAAATAAAGTGGAGGAATGCTGAGCTGTATTCGTGTAGCTAAAAAATCGCTGATTGTCCATAAAATGCAAAAAATATCTGCAGGAACTTAGGAAATGGCAAACCATGAGGAAGTAGAAAGGAGGCAGAATCCAGATGGTACCATGCAGAAGTAAGTAGAAGCCATAAACAGAATGCAAAACAGCTACAGTTGAAAATGTGGCTTTCAGATGCTCTGGAGTAATTCCCTCCCTTTTTAAGCACAGATGATGACTTGGCCAGTAAACAGGGCAGTGGATACGGGCTGTGGAAACTTAGCAGTAGCCGCTGGCCAAGCTGCACAGTTGTCTGAACTTGGTCTGGATGTTGTCCTATGGCATGTCTTTCAAATTCCCAGCTATAAAATGGTAATTTCACATGGCTATGTGTAAAAATAAATTCTGCTTTTGAGAAACTTACATGTTCAGGTGGGGAAGAACAGGTAGTAAGGTGGGAAAGGCTATAGATTTATTCATAGGGCTGGATTTCTTACTAAAATCTGGCAAAAATCAGCTAGGGAATTCATGCTTCATTCGCATAAAGTTTTCCAAAATTCTTACATGAAAAGTATTATACAAATGCAAAATACTAAATATGTCTGAAAGCAATATTGCGCAAGAAGAGTGTGGTAGCATTTCAAAGATTTTCATATGCGTTTGGTGCTTTTTTTGTCTCTGTGCTGCTTTCTTTATGTATATGTGTATTGTCAGGAATCCTTCCATTGTGTCAGATACTTTGCTTGGGATGTGATTAAAAGCCTCTCTACTTTTTGCAGATGTCACCAACAGAAATATTAGAAAACTGGACAGATGCAGAATCACAAGGAGAAAAAGGAAGGAAATTCCCACCTGTTTTTAAAGTTGACAAGGTAGAAACTCAACAAGACCAGAGGACACCAAACTGGCATCTTGCCCTAATACCAGAATGACCTGCATTGGTTTAGGAAGAAGAAAAAAACAAGCTAGTTTGTCTAGAGTATATGCCAGAATGAAAAGCACCAGCAAAAACCTGCCCAAAACCTTCCAGCAGAATGTCAAAAACCAGAAGAATAAGGTTGGGAGCAGAGACGGTGGATTAAGAGCTCACATCAATGGGCTTCTGTAGAGGAATCGTCCTACTTTCCACATCTTGGGCATGGAAGTAAATGGATTGTAAACTTCAGTAGTAGCCAAGATATATACCACAGTGAGATCTTTGAGCTGCAAAAGGGTGCACTGGGGAGAACTGAAAGCAGATAGCCCTGGTGTCTCTAATACAGCTTATTTAAACACGTTCAAGGCATCGTTCCTGACAGGGGCCCAAGACAGTGCTGACTCTGTAATGTTTGCATCAAATCATGTGAAAGAAACAGGCCCGCTTTTTGAATCAGGGAACGGTGTATTTTTAATCACACAGCTAAAATAGCTCAACTGTGGCAATTATTTGGAAGACTTTTACAGAGAAGCCCCAAAGGCTTTTTTTTATTATTATTATTTTAAGTTTTAAGGCTAATGTTGCAGAATGACTGAATTCTACCTTTTATGAAGAATCATTATTCCTGTTTCTCCAGGAAAGAGCTACCTGGAATAGGCTTAAAGTTAAAAATATCAGCAATATGCTAAAAGAAGGAAGTATAAAAGTAATTGCATGTAAAACCAAAATAATTACAAGGACAGGTTGACTATCCCAAGCCAAACATACACATCCAGGAAACTGGTGGTGAGCTGACCGTCTAAAGAATTCCAGACATGCTGATTTACAGTCAAAGTACAAAACATGTCTGAGGATGCTGGTACCCTGGCAGAGGACGACAGCTTGTGACAGTGTGTCCTCAGCTCTCCACCCAGCTGCCAGGTGGCTGGCCACGCTGCTCCTGAGCGAGCTACCATAGCCTCCATTTGCTGATAGACCTTACAGTGCTGTGGCACATCTCCCTCAGATCAACGCACATGCTGCATCTGTTCTGGTGGATATGTCTTTACAAATATGTAGTCAGTGTTAATACAGCCAAAGACCATAATTTCTGCGACAACAACATTTAATTCCAGTAGTTTGACAGCTGTTTTAGGAGTGGCTCAGCCACCCAAGTTGGAAGGGCAAGGAGACTGAAGGCACCTTTGCTGTTCCTGCTCAGGAACCCTGACTGTGTGCATTACTGGTACTATGCAACTGCCATAATTAACACACATTCCTGTTTTAGATCAGATTAAGCCCTTTTTAAAGACCCTGTAGTGAGTGAAATGATTGTCATTAGAAGAGAGAATCAAGTGCGTGTCCACACATCCTTTCAACCAGTAGAAATCTTGGAGCGGAGAAAAGGACAGAGCGGAACTGATCTCAGGAGGAGTAGAGCTGGACTCAGGAGGCCAAGGAAAGAAAAATGAAAAGACCTTGCAGTTTTCCATTAAAAGCAGTCTGTAAAGGCTTTCCAGTATTGTCCATTTCAAGGCAGATGGGAAAACTTGGCGTCTTGAGAAAAGGCTAATCCTTGTAGCTATGAACTGAACATCAGAAACAGTTGAAAAAACATCACTTTTGGATGTTTTTAATAGTAAACTCTGTACCAATAGAACTGCTGAGGCAAGGATTATACAGTCTCTTTAAAGTCAGTAAAATACCATATGTACATGCATATTTAAGTAACTTATGTTTTTAACCTGTTGCGTAGCTTGGGACGCAACTATTCCTTATGAGTACTACTAAAAAAACTCCGATAATTTATAAACATGATTTGCATAGCAATTTCTGAAGGGAAGCATGTGGGGAAGGGTGGATTAAGTGGAAAAAGGGAGAAGGGTGAATCACAGGGGAGGTTAAAGACACGGGAAATGGAGACATTTAAGAACTCGTTCTCGCCTGCCTGCGCGAAGTCCTCTTTACTTGGGGTAAAGAGTCGAGCTCACACACTGCTTGCTGATGACGGTGGAGTTTCTTGGCACGAATGTGTGACAGAGAGAACAGATACTGGTAACACAGACCGTACTTCTCCATATCCCGTCTGGGTAGATGCATCATGTATTTTCTCGGATGGCAAAACTGGCTTAAGAAGTTCTTGTCCTTGCTGCCACCTATCTTGTCTCATAGCTATGTGTTTCCCACATCTGCAGTTTATTGCTCCTTCAGTTGCCAGTGCCACTGTAATTCAGACTACACATTAAAAGGAAAAAAAAATAAAGAGGTATTATAGCTTATTATTCAGTTTCATTAT